TTTATGTAAAAAATCTTACAGAGCTAGTTAATAAAAATATAAAAAAGTCAAATAAGAAACAGCTAAATATCAATTATAAAATGACGATTCAATAAATATTCATATGTTTCTTCAATTTTGATTTAAACCCACGAACGTTAGGGCTGTCAAAAAAATTAAATAAATTAATAGGAAGATTATTCCAGGGTTTGATAATTCTGACAAAGAAAGAATTTTTGTAACAGTTCAGTTTTGCGAGTTTGAGTTGTAGTTTATATAGGTGGTTAGATCTCGATTTAGTGTTTTTACAAAGTTCAAAATAGTCGCTGAAATTCAATCCATATAGATTAGTCCCGATTGTGGTAAACATTTTTCCCAGTGGTTTTGCACGAGGACAGACGTTACTCAAAAAAAATTTCAAAGAAACAGCCTTTGTTTCAGATTCGAAGAAAACAAAACAGAATAAATGTGTACTCATCTACTTTTGTATTGTCATTGTCCTTGGCTCAGTTGACCTGGTTGTAACGTGAACTGTTTATCTACTGCGTCATTGAAGTGAATGTATATTTGCCTACAAACTTTATATTTACAAAATCCGTTATAGAAGTCGTATTGTTAATGAAAGAGGAGAGAATTAATCGCCTGTAATTAAAGGAAAAACTTCGGGGCCCTATGACTTGTGCAAACCACGATTAAAAGGTTCATTTAACGAATTTGTTGCCCTTCATAGTTCTTTAAAATGTAACCAATGCGTGCACTCCCTCTCCCCCTTCTTTTTTTCATCAATTTTCTGTTTTCTGTCATATTCAATCTTTGTAATTGTTCAACACTTGTGAGGGATTAATTTTGCAATCCTTAAGCAGGCTACGTACAAGCAACGCAACTTTGAAATGTTTTTGTCAACAAACATTAATTTAAGATATGCATTTAATCCTGTAAATTGACGTCAAGAATCTTGCTTCAACAATTTTTACTCGGGCCTCCGAAGGAAACGTCCGAGGTATAAATTCGGCTGTGTTTTTTTTTTTTTTTTTTGCGTTCAATCTCAAAACGCTGTTCCACTACAGCGCATGCGTAGAATGAACCCTAGAGCGTATGGTTTAAAGCAACAAAACAATGGCTGTCTTCGTGGACAATTCCTTGCTTGATGTACCCTATGGCGGATCCAGGGGTGGTTCGGTCGAACCCCCTAAATTCCCTAAATTTTCCCTCAGAACGCTGGAAATCATATTTCCGAAGACCTAATTTTCAANTTAAACTGAACAGTGAACCATTGTTGTGCGCTGTTTTTAATCGTTTACGTTTTGTGTATATCTTGTCGTCATCTGGGTCGATCACATTTTTATCTCTGCCGGATTTAATGTATTCTTCGACTCTGAAAAAAAAGTTCCCTTATATAAATCTAAAGCAGCAAAACAATAAATAACATTGCACATTTGAAATGACTGCTGATATTAAGTGATTTCTAACTAACAAACTCGTATTAAGAGAAGGTTGACAAGTTTGACGAGTCGAAAAGCGCGAAACGGTCCTATTTCTTATTAATAATCCAACTATAACAATTCTGTAATATTGCTGACTTTTATAAAGTGATAATCTCCTTTTATTTTTCTTTTGATTAAACTGCAATCGCTTCGAATGTTTCAACTATCTCCGAAAGTAAAGCTTACAAAGAAGTGAAAGTGAATTTATCAGTCTGTCTCACCTACCGCTTAACAAGTTGTGCCTTCGTTTTGAGACCTTTCAAAGAATCTCCACGACATTTGAGCCAGAAACGAAGCTCGTCGTTCTTCAGAGAACAGGGCTGTCTTCCACAGAGGCTAGCTCCCACAATATCTTCCTCAGTAAGTTCAGTTTCCATGTTTTCAGCAAAAATTTCAAAGACGGCGGGAAAACTAGATGACTGACCAGCCTCGTTTACGTGACGTACGGCCCATTCTCCCCGCGCCGTCCGCCATATTTAGATTCGGTGAATATACTAAAACTGTAGATAGCACTGCTTCTCTTGTTGTAACCTTCAGTAATATTCAATATTCAGAGATTTTCCTACTAAAAACAATATGAATTATTAAACAGCAATATTGCTTCAATCTACTGATTTCTGACAACTCCCCTTGGGTGAACATTTGGCACTCAAGAAGCTAGAGTTGCCCTCGGCTATTACCTCAGGCAACTCTTACGCTTCTTTCGTGCTCTCCAAACTTCCCGCGTGCTCCATAACTCGATAGTGCACGCTAAAGCATAGACCAATTGTTAATTAGTAATGAGTAGTTAATGGTGCATAACTTAAAATTGCACACAATAAGTACAAGTCAAGTATTTAACAAATTTTTATTCATCCAAACTAAAAATGTAACAAATTAATGAAATATATTTGCCACATAGAATAACTCAGCCTGTATTTACAATATCATCAGTGGATTAAGACAGGTCAATGGGATTAAGAAGGGAAACAAATGCACCTGATTGCTAAATAGGTATATGGTACAAACATGAATATTATCAAGAATTGTTAGAAAGTTCAACTTATGTAAGGCAAACTAGTTGGTTGTTTACAAGACACAGGGAATAAGATGTTTTTGAGAATTCTGAGATACAAATCTCATTGAGTGCTAGTGTAGATGAAAAGGAATTGCAACTCTAGATCTCAATTCCAGTGCCTTCACCCTTTTACTCGAAAGAGGCGATGAACAAGTCACTTATAATTCCAAAGGGTTACCTTTCAAACTGATCATAACACCAAATTCTTTTCTCTAATTTACAAAGAAATGTATGGCAGTCAGTTGGGAGAATTACTAATTGGATCTTGGGAGTTAAAGTGTGAAGCCACTTGGTTATACCTTTTCTATATCTTCTAATGAAATGATAATTCCATTTATACGAACTGTGAAGAAAATTCCCTTTAATTTACTTTGGAGATTATCTGAGAGAAAACAGGCGACAACTACAAGACACATTATTGAGTTTAAAAAAATTGTTTTATGTTTGCCTTACTACTTAAAACCATTTGTGCATTTGCCTGTTTTTTTTTCCCTCAAATTCTGTTCACATGACTTTTCCTCAGACCTTCATTAGACCGTGTTACAGTTTTTTTCCTTGATAAGGGCTATTTCATCTTAAAAGATCTAGTGTTATTCGACCAGGTCAAGTCGAGCGAAACACCATTAATGGTTAAACCTATCTCAAACTCGTTCAAGTTTCATTTTCTGATGATAGTTTTCCTATATAAGCGACTGTATGGGGTATTCGTCAATTTTGTTCAAAATCTTACCCCGTCCCCCCCCCTCCCCTCCTTCGACATCTGCATTTGAAGCTAAAGAAGCATTTTCACAGTGAATCGTTTCTGCCGCGAAATCTTTGGATGGGCCGGGAAAATTGATCCAATANCAATATCATCAGTGGATTAAGACAGGTCAATGGGATTAAGAAGGGAAACAAATGCACCTGATTGCTAAATAGGTATATGGTACAAACATGAATATTATCAAGAATTGTTAGAAAGTTCAACTTATGTAAGGCAAACTAGTTGGTTGTTTACAAGACACAGGGAATAAGATGTTTTTGAGAATTCTGAGATACAAATCTCATTGAGTGCTAGTGTAGATGAAAAGGAATTGCAACTCTAGATCTCAATTCCAGTGCCTTCACCCTTTTACTCGAAAGAGGCGATGAACAAGTCACTTATAATTCCAAAGGGTTACCTTTCAAACTGATCATAACACCAAATTCTTTTCTCTAATTTACAAAGAAATGTATGGCAGTCAGTTGGGAGAATTACTAATTGGATCTTGGGAGTTAAAGTGTGAAGCCACTTGGTTATACCTTTTCTATATCTTCTAATGAAATGATAATTCCATTTATACGAACTGTGAAGAAAATTCCCTTTAATTTACTTTGGAGATTATCTGAGAGAAAACAGGCGACAACTACAAGACACATTATTGAGTTTAAAAAAATTGTTTTATGTTTGCCTTACTACTTAAAACCATTTGTGCATTTGCCTGTTTTTTTTTCCCTCAAATTCTGTTCACATGACTTTTCCTCAGACCTTCATTAGACCGTGTTACAGTTTTTTTCCTTGATAAGGGCTATTTCATCTTAAAAGATCTAGTGTTATTCGACCAGGTCAAGTCGAGCGAAACACAATTAATGGTTAAACCTATCTCAAACTCGTTCAAGTTTCATTTTCTGATGATAGTTTTCCTATATAAGCGACTGTATGGGGTATTCGTCAATTTTGTTCAAAATCTTACCCCGCCCCCCCCCCTCCTTCGACATCTGCATTTGAAGCTAAAGAAGCATTTTCACAGTGAATCGTTTCTGCCGCGAAATCTTTGGATGGGCCGGGAAAATTGATCCAATATAGTTTCTGCTTGGATAAATCAATTAAATTATCGTGAATTACAAGTCTACTTCAGTATGTATACTTTCTTAGCTGCACTGGAAGAGACTAGTTTACGCCCATCTGGTGCTGTTGCAATGTGACTGGGACGTCGTAAAGAACAGCGGTTCTACCTGGAAAGCGACTGTCCAAAGAAAATTGCTGAACTCTGTTATTTTATAGTCACAAACAAGTAAATTATTGGACCCGTCTAAACACACTCTACGAGGTGTGTTGAACCGTCCAACTTGATTCCCTTGTTTTCCAAACTTGTAGAAAAACTTTCCTGACGAATCAAATGCTTTTATACAGTGGTTGTCTCTTTCAGATACCTGGAAAATGTTTTTGTAAGGATCACTGCTGTATGGTTTGCCAAGTTTCTCTGGTCCACTATCTCCTATTGTGAACGTAGTTTCGCTCTCGTTTGAACTCAATTGAACTCTTTGATTTTTGCCTACACGTTCTTTATTATCGAGGAAAATACTAAGTGGTTTCCTTAAGTGTCCTTTTCCCTCACCTCTTTGTCCAAAGATTTTCCAAACAGTTTGTCTTAATATTTATGTGTTGTATTCTATCATTTAATTGATCTGCATAATAAAAAATTAACGAATT